CACACAAGCAGTACTGCTTCCGTGGTATTACTTTATTCACAATCTGTACCCTATATTGCTGTGAATAAATTATTATTATTATTATTATTATTATTATTATTATATCACAACAAAAACAAAAATCAACTCAATATAATATATGTAAAATAGAATAGAAAGAATTTAAATGAAAATTATTGATACGGTTGTTTGACAGGTTCTCGTCGAAGTTTCGAATTTAATCACATCCTTCTTTAGGGCTGTAAAAGTAGTTTTTTCGTGTTGATAATATTACTACTTTAAAAACCATCAGACATATTAGAAACATATAAAAAAAACAACATTGCAACAACCAAATTTCTGATACAACACCAACACAAAACGACATGAAACAAATATTTGTTTCATATGTATCTAATATGTCTGATGGTTTTTAAACCATCCTGTCTTCAGATAAATAACGTAGTTTGAGGTTGGGTCATCCTACTCACTATATAAACGGGGAGATAAAATTTTGCACTCCCATTGATGATATTCCAAAGCCAGTATTTGGACAAAAATGCTGTTCCGCAGTCTTTACTCCAAATGTGTATTATGCTGCAGTCGACGTTCGGTTCGAGCTTTTCATGAAACAACTGTCTACTTATAACAACCATTTTCAGCAGGGCTTTCAATTGAATATTTTCACTCAAAACCTTTCAATCATCTTCAGCTTGATATATCCCACTGAATTTATGAAGTCTTTCAGCAAATTCCACAATGATCAGAATATAGTATTCACATTTCTGAGGTATTTCAAATTGAAACTTTTATATTGAACTGACACCCTTTAAAAGACCACTGACTATTCTTCTATCTATTGCAAAATTTCGTGTGTTTTGAGCTTAGGGTCAGGTGGTCAATGGTTTTCAGAATAATATGTAACCTTTTCGATAAATAGTCGTTTATACACTGATATACAGTCCGAAATATAACATCATTGGCTTATTCAGTTCTGTATTTTTTTTAACACGCTTTTATTAGCTTCACCTGTATGTATTTATGTATGTATGTTTGTTTGCTTGTAACTCTCAAGCTAGGGATCTGTATTTGATAGAATTATCGACATTATCGCTTGATCTATTCGCGGACAGATGGCGCTGTACGTAACATCCTTGATATATCGACATTATTGCTTGATCTATTCGTGGGCAGATGGCGCTGTACCTAACCTCCTTGATATAAGTCGAACTCACTTTACATGTATTCCTTCATTTGAAAAAAGTATTTCTTTAATTGAATTGATGAATCGAAGAGGATTTTTGTATTGAAGTGTATAATTTTTAAAATTCTTGCAAAGCGCTTTCGACTTTCGTCATTATCAGTGCTCACCTGAAAGTAAGTGATCTAATTGAACAGACGAGAAATGCGACAACATACTTACCCCTCAACTGAAACAGAACTTACAAGTTTCCAACCCAACGGTGTCGAAACTAAATTGCCTCCCTTAAGGATATATTGTAAAATAATTGATAAAGCAAATTGTAAAATTAATTTAGGTATGGTATACCTGTATGTGTGGTATACCTGCATGGTATACTTGTATGGTATGCCTGAATATCATAAATAGGGTTAGCTTCGAAAAGTTTTCAGTTCAATCTTCCTCTTGAAGATGATCACTTGGTGATCGAAACACGTGTCGAGGTGTTGAAAATATCGATTTGGTGGTGGGAAAAAACTTCAGTTATATTCATTACTATACCAAAAGTTCCAAACAGTGCATCGTAAGTAAAAAGTTAAAAATAGTTTTTTAAAATAAGCTTTAAACGATAACGAACGAAAAATACTAGTAATTTTGTGAAAAAAGCGTAGGCGCATTNCTCCGGATTTAACGCCATTGGATTTCTTTCTCTGGGGTTATTTGAAGACAATGGTATACAAAACTCCCCCACAGGACATTCAGGATCTAAGACACAGGATTACTGACACATGCAGACCAATTAATAATGAAACATTTAGAAAAGTCCGACAGAAATTCGAGTTTTCTAAACGGGGTTGAGTGAGGATTTTTAAGATCTTTAAAATGATCTGATACAAGATAGGGGGTGCCATTTAAAAAATTATTAAGTGGGGGTAGCTAGGGGTAAGGGTGTTAAACCTAAAATACCACTGGCACTGGTTTTAAACTTACCCTCGATATCTAAATTGACGTGGTTACTAGGGGTGGGAAGTTTTGAAATACTACAAATATTGTTATAGTATTTAAAAATACGTTTATTTTTCTCAGTGTATCAATATTTTTGATAAATGAATTCACTAGTTAGAGCAGTATACTCGTACATATTCACAGTGATGATTATTCATGTCCATTGTTGGAAATGCGACCGAATGATTAGTATATTCAAATGTAACAAAAAATAGTACCTATATTCAATTCACTCATTACGGGAAACAAGTGTCATATTCGCTCATGAGCACAATAAAATTTTATTTAAAATATGTTTTTCGCACTGATTATTTTTCCAAACGTTATAATTTTTTTGTAATCCCATACCGTTATTTTGATTTGACGGTTTTCAGATGACAATTGAAAAGTTAGTTAACAGCCTCCATCCGTTTCTTAATGCATTTTCATTTGGTAAAATGATATCTGTGTGTCCGACGAATCCCATACAATGCATGTTGTCAAGTGGATAATAAAATATTATTATCAAAATATTTTATCGGCCGGCGGCATTTTCAAAATTTTTATATTCTTTCTGATATCGGTCTTGAGTTATTTTCGGTAGTAAATCAACACTAAATCTAAATCAAAATGTAATCTTTCAGCGGGAATCCTAAAATTTTTGAAGGACACACGGCCGATACGCAAATAACGGATTCGGTTGTTATAATTCAACCTCATCCGATATCGACCTTGTAACGTTAATAACTATAACATTCTTTAACACTCTTCCCGAAGTGGCCGACCATTTTCGAATTAACAAAAGAATAATGTAACGAATCAAAGAATTAATTGTCTCAAACAAATTTGTTTTCAACAATATTTCACTATCACAACTAATTTATATACAAAACTTAGCAACTAACGCTTAATTTATCTTCACGGTTAGAATTCTTTCTTTAAATGCACGATTCACTTTCTAGATACAGACTCCCTCTGACGACGGGAGGCCGGGTTTATATATCGGCAACGATCACGTTTATTTTAAAAAAGTTATTTTCAACTTTTTAGTTCTATGTTATTTAAAAGCGTGTTTTTTAGTTTTTTTAAACTATATTCACAGGGGCAGCCAGGCATCAAAAATATTCTTGAAAAGATTTGTGATTTTGGCTGGTTTTGTCACATTCACCTTTGAAAAAAATTATTTCCGGACTTTCGTAACATTGAATTCTACTTGCTTACTATCAGCACAAGATGACAATTTCTTTCACATCTACATGAAGATATAAAACCTTTTATTGTCACTAAAAATCTCCCTTCGAGAATGGTGAAACGAACACGATCAGGCAACTTTGAACTTTGAACATTTTGTTAATTCTTATCTGCCGAATACTACATTTACAAAGCATCACTCATATGATGGATTCCGTGAGAAGTCTGTAAATGAACCAAAATAGTATGAAGAAATAGTTTCGTAATGAAATGATCACAAAAATGATTTATAAATGACGTAAATATGTAACACATTATTTTAAAGATCTTAAAAATCCTCAATCAACCCCGTTTAGAAAACTGAAATTGGTTGATCCGTTTTCGTAAAATAGGGCAAAAAGAAAATGAATTATAACAAAATGCAAAAATTTATGGAACCGTTACCACTGACTCAATAACGGTATGTTTATGTCTCTTCTTTACACAGAGTTTTTTGCTTTAGCTGAGAGTGAGATAAAGGCACACAGTTGTTTCTTGGCGTCAGTTACAATTAAATGGTGGAAACATTTATCAGAATTAGTAATTCCTGATTTCATACTGTTTTTCAAATGGTGTCAGTTGCATTGACAGTAATACAAATCGTAATGGTGTACACTTTACAAAAAAGAACTGGAATTATTTTTATTTATGGTGCTGAAGATAGGTGTGCTCGTAGAACAGCCCGGGTTTTTAATGAAAGGCATGCAGGCCAAAATGTGAGTCATCGATATGTTCTAGACCTTGTTCAAAAATTTGAAGAGACCGGTTCTGTGTGCAACAAAGCAGTAAAGCAGCCGAGAGTTCTTACGGAAGCCGCACAGATTGAGATTTTAGGTCAATTCGCTGTTGAGCCTACTACTTCAATTTCGAAAGTCGCTAAGTTAGTAAATATTTCAGTTGGTTCTATACACAAAGTTTGAAAACTAAACAAGTTCTTTCCTTACAAAATGCGTATTCTTCAGCAACTAAGTGAGGATGACTATGATAGGAGAATTGAATTTTGTGAAGTAATGACTGCGAAAATTCAAAAGGACCCGAATTTAATAAAAAATATTTGCTTCAGTGATGAATCAACTTTTTTTTAATGGCTTTGTAAATAAGCATAACTGTAGATACTGGGATAATGAAAATCCATACTTGTTTCGAGAGGATCATACGCAATATCCACAAAAAATAAACGTCTGGTTGGAATTCTGGGAAATGAAATAATTGGCCCTATTTTTTTTTAAATTTAACTGGTCAATTGTATTTAAACTTATTGGAAAATGTAATCGATCCACTCATAACACAGTCAAGTTGATGAAGAAGACAACCCGCTCTTGGATAAACAAAATTTACATTCTCAACAGGACGGCGCACTGTCACACTACGCATTGCATGTTCGACAGTGGCTCGATCAACGGTATCCTGACAAATGGATTGGCAGAAGAGGCGCTCTGGAATGGCCGGCGAGATCTCCGGATTTAACGCCATTGGATTTCTTTCTCTGGGGTTATTTGAAGACAACACTCTTCCCGAAGTGGCCGACCATTTTCGAATTAACAAAAGAATAATGTAACGAATCAAAGAATTAATTGTCTCAAACAAATTTATTTTCAACAATATTTCACTATTACAACTAATTTATATACAACACTTACCAACTAACGCTTAATTTATCTTCACGGTTAGAATTCTTTCTTTAAACGCACGATTCACTTTCTAGATACAGACTCCCTCTGACGACGGGAGGCTGGGTTTATATATCGGCAACGATCACTGCAGATCTCTCTAGTCGTTTCGGCACTCATCTATAATTTTCGAGGCGGTTCGTCGATTGCATTCCTTTCGCGGCGAGTCATATGTTTGGTGTTTGAGATAACGGTTAGGGCCGGCTTCAGATTCATTACATTGCCCCCTTCAGATTCATTACAATAACTTTGGTCATCATCTGATTACACCAACTTGGTGAAACTGCCGTCAGAAAATGTAATAGTTCTGGTATGTGGGAAAAGTATTCGTGTTGCATATGAAACTAATGTCCAATCATTCGATGAAGTACGAAACGAAAGAAAACATTTTCTTAGTTTTCGATTTATTCTTGTAGGAAAAAATCAGTTGCATAAAACCTATCTTCAATAGAAAAACGGGTTAAGTAGATGTATTTCCCATACGAACGACAACCCTTAAAAGTCGAAAGCTGCACGAGATAAGGGTTTACGAGGCCTTACTTTTCAACGCGAACATCCATCACTCACGATAATCAATACATGAACTTAAGAAATATCTGTTTTCTTATTGAGTTTTTTATAAATATTAAAGTAAATGTACCGAAAATTGCACCAGTAGCAGAAGAGGTACTATCCTGCTCCACGACAACGCTCGTCCGCACGTCTTATAAATCACAAATTTTTGGTACAACCAGTATTGCATAAATTTTTAGGTAAGTCGTCAAATTCATTTGATATAGGCAACATTTTAGTTGCATATTCCATGCCTTTTTTACAAGATTTTATTTAACTTGCTATAAATATTTGTATAGTTGACTGAATTGATCAATGATATACTGATTCACGAATACATTTATTGAGTAAGTATATATATCATTTGAATTTTGGTTATTCAGTCAGTCTGAAGATGGGGTGCACATGATTCAACTGAAATCATCTTCATGCTTTTTATAATTTTCTCACAGAGAAAAAGTCTTGATAAAGTGTTTGCATACGTCCACAGTTCTGGAAAAAAATTATTATATTAGAATCAAAAATTTAAATATTAACTGAAAACCTATTTCTGCTTGAAATACAGTCGCATAGCTCCCTAGGCAGGTTACTATCTCTGTAGTCTGTATTAGATTGATTTGTGCAACCTTCAGAATGTTAAGAAATGAAATCAGCTCGATACGTTCATACTTACACGTTGTTTGTACATGCATCTATCATTTTGCTATAATAAGGAGCACATGCTTTTGGGTAGCAGAATTTATGATGTATGAGATATCCCTGACACAGCACGTAGATCACCAAACGATTCCAGTAATGGTTGGTTATTTTCAGATGTTTGCTAATATTATTATATGAAATCTGAAAACAATATACAGTTCTTGAATACCATACAATATTTTGAGAGAATATATTTCTGTGATTGAACCTACCTGTAGCAGAGTAGTAATTGCGATTACTAGGACATGAATGTTTGGAGAAATGGCATATGTGAGTCCAGATATTAGACCAGCAATGAGCCCATGGAAAGTTTCGGACATTCTAGTTTTCGGAAGGTAACAGGATAACATCTGAAAGTGGTATTTAACATTTTGAGTCTGTATATTTCATTTGATTCTGTATTCATTTCATAAATAAATTGTCACTATGTGGTAGAAGATTATTATGAAAAATAAAACTTCCCAAGTTCGGCTCTGCCGAACTCTAAAAACCTGATTCGGTTCCCAGCGGGGCAAGCACAATGTATATGCTTTGCTGTTTCATAATTTTCCGAACAGAGGCGATTTCCGACAGTCCAAGTCTTTGCATATGATGATTCAAATGACAGTGACCTGTGAGAAGGCCTGTTAGACATTGTAGTTTGTCCCTACTATAGTCCAACAACTGTTTGGTATCAAAATTAGAAGGGTGAATAAAAGCCTTGAAGTGATCATTTGTCTAACTATCATCACATACATCAAATGGGACCCAAACCCCAAGTTTTATCACATAGGGACAGTCTGGCTTTGTGCGAAACTTTTTCCAAGTGAGCGTTCCAGGTGAGTTTTTTATCAAAGACAATACCAGGATATTTCACCTCCGTTCCAAATGGAATAACCTTACCATTGAGGGGGAAGTGGCGTTGAATCGTCAAATTTTATCTTCCTGGTGAAGGGGAGTATCACAGTTTTGCTGGCGTTGACAGACATCTGCTTCCTCAGGCACCAACTATGAAAAACGTCCAACGTGCTTCAGAGGATATTACAAGCTACCTTTTCTGACGTGTACCTTCCCAGGATGACGAGGTCATCTGCATAAGCTTGCGGATCTATTTTTCTCCTGTCGTGTGCATCAAGCAGGCTATCCATCAGGAGCGACCATAGGAGGGGAGAAAGTACCTCACCTTGAGGGCAGCCTCTGATGACCCTGAACCGAATGGCCTCGCATTGAAGAGAATCGTAGTTGCAATTCAGTTTACCAGCATGGCATGGATCTAGCCAGTTATGGTCGATTCCCACATGAACACTATTACACTCCGGTCTCATAAGCTTATAAACTCCAGATTTCTCCATCTTGTCCATTTTATCTTTGGCATTGAAAGGGAATTTATGATGCACTGTTTGGAACCTTTGGTGTAGTAATGAATATTACTGGAGTTTTTTCCCAACACCAAATCGTTATTTTTAACACCTCGACACGTGTTTCGATCACCAAGTGATCATCTTCAAAGAGGAAGATTAAAACTAGAAACTAATGCTATATGGTATTAATGCTATATAGGTATCCCATACAGGTGAACCATCCAGGCGTTACACCCATACAGGTATACCAACCTAAATTGATTTCACAATTTGCCTTATCTATTGTTTTACAGTATATGTTTATATAAAACAACAAAATTGTTAAACCTAACCTAAATTAATTTTACAATTTTGCTTTATAATTTAGGTTTGTATACCTGTATGGGTGGTACGCCTGGATGGTTTACCTGTATGGGATACCTATATAGCATAAATAGGGTTAGCTCGCATTAGTTTCTAGTTTTAATCTTCCTCTTTGAAGATGATGATCACTTGCTGATCGAAACACGTGTCGAGGTGTCAAAAATAATGATTTGATATTGGGAAAAAACTCCAGTAATGATAATTGGAAGGGAAATTATATAACCTGGCATATGGGCTGGCTGACACTTCCAGAAAAAACAATGTGGAAGTGGCATTTAGGCCACATGTCAGATAGTAGTAGTTGTATTTATTTATTTGGGTTACCCTGATTTACAAACGTTCAATAAAAATATAATACATGATGTGAGAGCAAGTAAAAAGTAGATCACAATAAATCAATATCTAATAATATATAGTTATTTTAAAGAGTTCATATGATAAAATCAATGATTTATGAATGTTGAATAATTAAAAATGAGAAGTACATGGATGTTTAAAAAATAAATTAAACTAATAAGTACAGATACAGATGCACTCATACGCATATATCATCTAATTTTCTTTTCAATGCCATAAAGTGGACAAGATGGAGAAGTCTGAAGTTTATAAGCTTAATAATATCCACTCAGAAAATAGGAGATGTCGATACAGGAACGGGCATCAAAAATATTATTCTGTGAGATTTTTTGAATGCCTTTATCGTTTGGACAATCTCCAAATGAATAATTTTAAAATAATTCGAAATTCAAATAAAGCTGAACATTTGTTTCATCCAGTATTGTTTTGAATTGATATGTAAATGGTCTGCATATTTTTTTTGGTTTAATAGATATTTGTTGACTGCTCAGTTGTTTTTCATATGAACTGCGAAGTAGGAAGACAGAGAAGAATATTTTTTTCGATTTTTTGTGAAATATTGCAGAATATTCTTACAGATGTTTCAACTCTTATTTAGAGAAAAAGACCATGGAAAATAATGGAAATGTAAATGAGGAACCTCTCACCCTATTTATTGCCACGTAACTCCCAATGAATGAACCAAAATATAAATTCGATCTATTGAAACACATTCTGAGTATGGTCGATGGTTCTTTCACTATGCTTCCCATTCTGGTTAGTAGCTTTTTGATTATACTGACACCGTATCCTAGAACGAAATATTTCCAAAAGCCCTGAAAGAACAGCTCTAGTTCAGTTGACATGAGTTGAGAGTGCATAATGCTACCTGATAAACAAAAACTGGACAGGTTTTATCGTGGGAACAAGTGGTTAGATATTTTTCACAGTTTCCGTCCTTCACTGGTGGTGTATAGAACCTGAAAATTCACAAGAATATCTATATGATATATCTGAAAAAGTGAAGGAAATAATCATAACAGCGGTACTTAGGATCTTCTAGCGGTGAATTTGCGCAGTGGTAGTGCAGCCGACTCACGACTGGAAGGTCGTGAGTTTGATCCCAACCTCGATCGGATATTTTTCTCGAGAAAATGTATCTAGTTGAAGTTGAGTTGATTCTACAACATTACATGGTCGACGGACTGCGAATAGTCATGATGCTCCCTAGGCGGGTCGTGGAGTTATTAACATTGCCTACCCAGGACACGAGGCTAATAAACAATGTAGTCGATGCCGGTGACACCAAGACAAAATATTGGATATTTTGTCCATCCTGATCCAAATATCGTGAGTTCGAATCTCCCGTCGATCAGATATTCTTCTCGCGAGAATGTATCTAATCAGAGGTGATTCGTTGGCATTGTTGTTACATTTTTGGCAGTTATGTCTCGGGAAACACCAATATATCATATTCAGAACACGAAACATTGACTATAGTAGTCGATGTCGTTGACACAAAAAAATGACCAATTACTGCAGGTTCGTCCTGTAAGGACATTTTCAAACTTATATATTGTATAAGTTTGACAATGTCCTTATATATTGTATAAGTTTAAAAATGTCCTTATAGGACGAAACTGCAGTAACTTTAGTTACAAATAAAAGTAGTAAAAAACATAGAAAGTTTAATTTCTCTTTTCTTCATTATGATTTCCTACCACGTAGTAACGGCTACATCCATCAATTGATTGATTCATTTATCATCATCTTCATCACGAACAAGTCTCTGTGATCAGCTGTGATGGCGTCATGGCAACAAAATTCAGAGTGGGGGACGGAGTGAGAAAGTAGTAGATAGAGAAAAAGTGAATAGAGAATAGAGGAATAGAAACTCGGAGAGGGAAATATAGGTATCACACATCTGCACGCTTTAAACTTTATCGACGAATTTTTGTTATTTCGGCTTGCGGAAATCGTCAGATTATAAATTTTTCGTTATCCTTGAATTATTTCCTTCAAAATAAAAAAAATTAGTCACGCTCGAGAATGTCGAAATGATGTTATTTTTTCACAACTTTGCTGCCCTCCCCTTTCTTTACATCACTCTCAGATTGTCAGATTATTGGAATATACACTTTTTAGCAGGTAATTAACTCACCCTACCTTAATCTGACGCGCTCGAGAATTTCTGATGATCAATTTTTTTTTCCACTGATCTGATCCTTTATCCCTCACAGGCGGCCTTATATATGCTCATATTTGGTGGAGGTACTTAACCGGGTACAAGGTATCCCCCTGTATATTAATCTGCCGCGCTTAAGTAAATCCCAAAATCCCCGCTTGAGTTCCCCTATTATTACGATTTGATATCCACAAACTTCATTTGAGAAATATATCACGACTTTTTTCGCTAACACAGTAGCTTCTTCAACAGTAGCTTCTTCAACTGTGTTAGCGAAACATGTCGTGATATATTTCTCAAATGAAGTTTTGGGAAATCAAATCGTATGGTGTAGTTTATGAAATTACTATTGATCTTCATTAAGTAACGGCGAATCAATCAGGAAAAAAAAAATGGAAAATACTGCTCCCACATACCAGAGTTGCAACACTCTTTTCAACGTGCGTTTCGCTAATCAAGATCTCCAATCCTGCAGTACCTGAAAAAAGTTTGAAACCTCTCCAATCAAACCCCAATTATTCAAACAATGGGGATCTATCAATCTCGTATGTCATAATTGTTAGAAGTACACAAAGTTTGGAATTCGAGGAAACTAAGTAGGTAGGTAGTTTCATATATTTTCTGCCAGTTTCCAACATTACCCGTAACAAAAGACGGGACTATACTCTCTTATCCATATGCTTATGTTTTTCCTGGGCGCGTCCCCAGGTGGCGGTTAGGGGAACGGCCAGGGGACTGGAGGCCCTGTCCGGGAAGCCAATGTGGCCTTGCGGACGTGGACGCCGGACTCCTGGTCAGTGGCAGAAATAAGTAAGGTGAAGGGAACTAATACCCCCCAAAAGCCTTTGCGAAACATGCCACCGTGGACCAGCCTACCCAAGCTAAGGTGTAAGGAATCGTGCTGACAGCTGAATGACAGCAGGGTGATATGCTGTCACGAACGATCCCCTTGCGGAACCGGGCGAAACCTCATTGTAATCAACCTACCTCTGGTAATGCGGGGTTCTGCCAGAGGTGACCAACTATTTCTTTGCTACTCGTGGGAATACACATGAATGAAACAACACAGAAATAGAAACAACAAAAACAAAAACCAATTCCGAGGCTGGACAGAAGTGCTCACCTCAATCTAAGGCGGTGGCTGGGGATGAACAGAAATGTCCACCCCAATCTACCGCTTGGAATGACGCTAGGTATAGCAGATCACCTCCAACAGCAACGGCACTTCCTGCGACGGGCGCCAGGAGTTCCGCCTTGAACGAAGGCAAGGAACCGGCTGGCCCTAAAGGAAAGCTCCCTCACTTGTGCATCCCCACGGAGGGAACCACAAGAAGGCAGAAGAAGCCGCGCAACGACAGTAATATCGCTGCACCTTCCAAAACCTTCGCGAAGGCCACCGTGAGACAACTCAAAGTTGACAAAGAGCATGTGTATTCGGCGAGTCTTGGCCTACACCTGCCAATATAAAGGTCCTAGGGACCTGTCCACCTTCCTGGAAAGGACATAATGGACGATGACCTAGGAGGACAACTCCTGGTGAGGATGTACAATGGGTCACATGTGGCCTAAATGCTGTGAGTTTACATCTACCCTCCCTTCTCTACAGATACCAAATATCAGAGACACAGTAATGAGTATTTCATGTAAGCCTAGTTGCTAAGTCAATTAGAAGACGTAAATTCATATAGTGTCTACAAAAAATTGGACTCGGTGTCTTCAGAAAGACACTTTTCAAATCTAATTGTTCACATCAACAAGTATGAAGCAACTCCAACAGTGAAACGTCTGGGATTTACGAAATGAGTTGCCATGATTGCGACAAACTATACATATTGATCAGACTGAAAGAGCGATTGAAACATGTTTCAAAGAATACTAGAAAAGCCTAGTGTCACTCAACACTCCTCATAAAGTAGGTAAACATTGCCTGAAATTGTTGAGATCCGTTCATGACAGGCTTCTTGACGTTTTCGAAAGCCTGTAAAGAGCAAAGCGTGTGCGAATTATGAACAGTGATGAATGTCTGATTTCAAACAGCCCACTGTTCACGTTTATATAAAAGATTTTGCTGAAATTGAAGGGAATTTTTTCAATCATTTCAAAGAAAAACTCACCAAAAGTGGATAAAATCGATTTTATCGTGCCTATTCGTCAAAAAATGCATTAGCAAACCACTGACACTCATAAATATCACTGTTTCCCATTCCCAACTGATTTTAGATTTCCTCAGTATGGTTTCTATAACCTGGAAATATAAAGTTCGGCAATTAAACCTACAGAATTGAGACAAACAAGGAAAGTCAGAGTGTCAAAAATTTTGTCACGGAAATCACGAAAATATAATATTAAAATCTAGTTTGAATTGAAGAGAAAATAATTTCTGGGAAAATTTATGAACATGGAGAAGTAGAATACCAAAACCTTTCTTCCCTAAATATTTATCTCACCTAAAACTATTTCCCGTTCAATTTAAATCAGATTTCTATGGATGGGATTGAATCAAATAAGCGAATTAATGTCATTACGTACTATTATCTATGACATGAGTATATTCAACTCATTTGTGACATAAGGTCGTGATTTACTGAATTGATTAAGTGCTTCATCTTGTAATGTTATCCAGATTGACGCTGAAGAGGCCGCCAGACAAGTGTCTCGTTACGAAACATCGATGTCCGCCATTGTAACGGTGTTCCCATATGAGTTAAATTTCACTTCTTTCATCTACTACATCAACCTTTTCTATTTTTTCTTATCTGAAAACGGTGATCACTTACCAAATTGAAATATAAAAGAGAGTGTAACACTTGGTTACTTTTGGATTCCACTAGTAACGACAGACCAGACACACATCCAGGTAAAAAAAGTAAAGTGAAATAATGTATTCTGCCAAATATCAACCTGCAAATAAGAAATCAAGATTTGAAAAACTTCTACTTTTTCCTTAAATGTCAAATATTTGAGTGAACTAATAACCACAACTTCAAGATAGTACTCTTTAATGACCGTACGACCATGTGGCAAGAACTCCATTACAATTTTTTTCGCTTTCTCAACATTATTATCGTCTGTTGATATGCTGGGGTGTCCAGGAAGAATATCGTCTTTCACATCTTCTGGACTTTCTGTGAAAAACTTATATGTAAAAATTTTTCTAACTTAGGGTACAATCAACGTATGCCACTGTCAACATGACCATGTCTTTGAAGAAGTGTTTTTTGAACAAATCTGTGAATGTTCGTAGTTCGCGAAGTTTGAACATTCACCTTTTTTTTGAATAGCCTATGCATGTTTAATATTCTAAAGCAGGGGTCTCCAAACTTTGAAGCCTTCGGACCATAAGGATTTTTTCAGTTTGTTCCAAGGGCCAATTTCTGCCCTTAACTATATTTCTAGACTAGGATAGTCGCAAAGTGCGTGACCTAAGCAAACTTACGCTTTTTTTGCATTTCAATTATTATTGTGTATTGTGACACCTAACGACATCTAGTGGCGAGTAGTGGTACTATGTACTTTCTTTTTCAGCTACCCGCTAGGATTGATATGCTTAAGAACAAATATCAAAATTCATCTTTGTAGGAATTTTATAAAAGTCTTCCACTGGAACAATTTGATAATTTGCATAAATTTGCTCGTGGGTTGTTTTCTGTTTTTGGTACTACTTACTTGTGTGAGAAAACGTTTTCCAAGATGAAGTACACAAAGAATGTTTACGAATCTCAATTAATCGATGAGCATCTTAAATCTCTTTTGATAAATGATGGTACAAGTAAAATTGATCCACAACTACAAAGTAATATCGGTGGAAAATCACAATTACATAAATCTCATTAGTGTTTTTGTTTTATTGTGATTCATTTCAATTATTTGTTAGTTAATAATATGCTTAAACTTAGATACTTAAGTTTTCTTTGTCATCATTTCTGTCGTTAAGTTTTACCTTGCAAGTAAATAAAACCGAGTATTTATCATTCTGTGTTTTCTTCTTCAACTTATCACAGCAATAGTAACAACAATCAGGTAATCATTGGCTGTCGCGGGCCGGATTGATGACAGTGGCGGGCCGGATTTGGCCCGCGGGCCGTAGTTTGGAGACCCCTGTTCTAAAGGAAAATACATTGACTTGCATGCCTCAAAGAGTATTCGAAGGATAACATTGGGAGGAACCTTTTAACAATTCTCATGTTCAGTCCAGTATGAATGATGAAATGAAAGCAAACTTCAAGAGCACAATGCATAGCCTTAATTTATATGGAGGATCAGAAAGATATCCCAGACCAGTCCTCCATTTAATACGGAAGCTTTTCAAAAGTCAACTTCATCCCATCACGTGATAGTTTCATTAAACTATAATTTCAAATAGTAGGCACCAAACTTCCAGAAATGACGTTTTTGCTACAATCTGTCTCTTGCAGTTGCCTACGGAAATCAAATCAACAGATGAGGAAAACATTATGATAGGATATATAGAATCTGAGAATTTTGTACCTAGTATTATGGAATTGTACTATACCAAAGTCAACTTCAATTTCCTGCCGAATTATGCCACGTTTTCCCGTTATTATCAGGTTAATACAAAAAGAAAACTGATTGACAGTCTCCTGTTCTCAAAGCAAGTGAGTACTCTTACCGAAAAGAACAAATTGCAGCTAACATCAAAACTCCCATGGCTGTGGAATACATGGTGGACCTCATTTCAGATACCAGAAAATTTAAAATAATAGTCTTCATATCCTTTTTTCCTATGCTCAGGAACATCTTCAACTGAAATATAATTAATCAAATACACTCAGAATTCAAGTCGAAGGTTGCAAACAATCCAATGCATCAGAACTGTAACACTCTTCTTGACACACTTTTTATGAACCAAGTGATAATATTTCTTACTCTATTTTCGTTCTTTTATTCGTAAAACGCCTGACTTCAAATTCGCAGCACCCGGAGAAAGATTTCCACATCTTCGTCAATTCTGAATCGATTTTGGAGAATATTTTCTCTGTCTTGGATAACTCGTGAAAAATCATCATGCATACTGGTTATGCCAAAAAATGAATGTGAATTAACGAGTGAAATTGAATAAAGTTGAGAACAAAGCTTTACTACCGACTCAGAATTTCTTCTTGAAACTTTGCAGAGAACTTCAAAATGAAAGGATAGATTGAAATCAGGAGATATTTTCTATTGCAAAATTACCAGGCAGCCAGTGATGCAATTGAAACCAGGTTTGGGTTTAATAAACCCTACAAAATACAAATAAAACAGAACCTAGAGTCAGATGCTACAAATGCAATGAGCATATATACAGACGGCTCAAGATTCAAAGAAACCTCAGTATGTGGAGTTTACTCCAGATCACTAAGCCCAAGGTTTAAGTGGAGAATGGAAAACATTCCAACGTGGTTCGAACAGAACTGGCTGGTATCTCAATAACCAGTCTACACTGATAGTAGACAAACTCTATTAGTCGTGAACAGACAACGTGTTATCTCAGGACTAGTTCTAGAGTGCCACCAAGATTTAGCCGAAGCCTCTTTAGATAACATTATTCTGAGGTGGATTAAAGGGCACGACAGGAGTAAAGATACTCGCATTGCCGACTCTTTAGCCAAGGAAGCGGCTGTACTAAGAAATTAAGGATCCAGTGACACCTACGGTCAAATGACTTCGACAATTGCGGAACTGGCCAAATGTCACACCCATGCTCAGTCCCTAAAGAGATGGGATGAAATCAAAGGAAGAAATCTTGCTAGGATCACCCTGGGCGACCCTGGAAAGCTAGCGCCGAAGAAATATCTGGCGATGACCAGGAACAACCTACAATTAACAGTAGGTTTTCTCACTGGTCACTGTCAACTAAGGAAACTCCTCCATGATATGGTGCTAGTGGACACATCTCTATGCAGGATATGTGAATAAGAAGATGAATCTGTCAGGTATGTCCTAAGCGAGTGCCCGGAGTTATCGTCAATAAGAAAGTGTGTATTCGGCGAGTTTTGGCCTACACCTGCCGATATAAAGGAGATGTCTCTAAGGTCATTCGAGTCCTTTCTCTGACCTATTAATAGTCAGATCTCGGAGGAATAAGTCCAGTCATCACCTAAAGAAGATTGTGATTACTAACAATCGAAACGTTGTGAAGTAACTCGGCTTGGAATATTTCAATTTTTTATTTTTTTTTAATTTTCATTTATTGTTGATACTTTTTCCATTTTCAGCTCGTGTTAATAGTTCAATTTTTGATTGTTGTATCTTGTATTTTATTTCATTGAATTTCAGTTTTTTTGACCAATATAATTGTTATTTCTCAGCTAATCTTTTTATTTCTATAGATTCTTTCAGGTATTTCATATCAATTTATCGTTTGTTTGAAGGTGATTGACAATGTTTCATAATGAATTTCACTAGTTCGGACTTTCACGACGTTTCGATTGTTAGTATCCAAAATCGTCTTCGGGTGATGACTGGACTGATTCCTCCGAGAGATGACTATTTATAGGTCGTTCGAGTACTTTCACTTATCTCCGCTTTCCATTTTTTTCCGCTTCACTGGTTCAGTGGGAGATGATCGTTTGGACGGAGTTGGCCATTTTTCGCTTGATGATGGGTTTGCGTATTTCAACGCTGGCTTCACTGAATACGTTGTTGGACAACATGTATGCGGCTTCCTTGAATTTTCTCCTAAACCAGTGTTCCTCTCTGTGTAAGATCTCAGCTTGGGACCACTCGATGTTGTATTGATGGGTCCAAACATGGTCTTCTATTCCTGATTTGCTGGTTTCCCTTCACTGTGTGTGTTTCTTTCACTCTGCAATGCGAACGTACAATGGTCTCTTAGTTTCACCAATATAGGATTTTCCGCATTCACAGGGTATCCGGTAAATGCATATCTTGGAATCGCAATCCGCGTTTGGTGGCCTGATTTTCGTGAGGCTGCCACGGATAGTGTTACCGAACCCCTTAATGTCTTTTAGCCAAAATCTTTTCTACCATCGCTTCGGAGTAGTCATTCCGTTGTAGATCATTTTTGATGATGTCTAGTTCTCTCTCGAGTTCGTTCTCTCTTTCAGGTTCCCGTCTTCAGATAGCTTCTCTGTATGATTTGGAGTGCTTCTTCGACCGGAACGTTGCTGTAAAGGCTTTGCACGTCGAAACTAATCAGTTGATCTTCCTGTGTGACTTCGATCGATCCTAGTAGTTCGACAAAATGCCTTGAATTCTTCACAAAAGACTATGTTTTTCCTTGTAATGGTTGTATTATGGGAAGTTAAAATCTAGGTAAGTTACGAGTAGCCGAATCTCTGGAGCTGATGAGAACTGATGGAGCTGGAGAACGAATCTACCTATAGAAGTAGTTATGGAATTACTAGGATGCTGTGTACGAAACTGTTATTTCCAACTGGAGGACGAATTCTTTACACAAGATGAAGGACTGCCAATGGGATCGCCACTTTTACCATTCATAGCCAACATATATATGGAGTGGTTTGAAACTCTGGCCACTGAAAAAGCCCACAAGAAACCTCGAGTCTGATTGAGATATGTTGACGATACCTTTATAATATGGAACCATGAGAATACTGAACTAGACGCCTTCCTGAACAGCGTCAGACCTTCCATCACTTTCACAATAGAGAAGGAAATCCACAGCGAATTGCCATTCTTAGACGTTTTGGTGAAAAGGACCGACACTAAATGGGAAACATCTGTATACCAAAAACCCACTAACACGGGACAGTATCTGAACCACGAATTCAACCTACATCAATCAACTATAAGAGGAATCATCAAGACTCTATTAGACCGTACTTTCGGGCTCTGTAACACAAAGGAAAGTCTCGAGAAAGAACTAGACATCATCAAAAATGATCTTCAATGGAATGGCTACTCCGAAGCGACGGTAGAAAATATTTTGGCTAAAAGACAGCAGGAGCCTGGTAAGGAAGAGAAGCCGTCACAACCAGTGCTTGCACTTCCCTACATCAGAGGATTATCGGAGAGGATAAGCAGAATTGGTTCCAAGTACAACATCAGAACCTGCTTCAGATCCGGTAACACTATTCGTAGCAGCCTCACGAAAATCAGGCCACCAAACGCGGACTGCGATTCCAAGAAATACATTTACCGGATACCCTGTGAGTGCGGAAAATCCTATATTGGTGAAACTAAGAGGCTATTGAATGTTCGCAATGCCGAGCACAATAAACACAAACAGCGAGGGGAAACCAGAAAATCGGGAATAGCAGACCATGTCTGGACTCATCAACACAACATCGAGTGGTCCCAAGCTGAGATCTTGCACAGAGAGGAACATTGGTTCAGGAGGAAATTCAAGGAAACCGCTTACATGTTGTCCAACAACGTATTCAGCCAAGCCTGCGTAGAAATACGCAACATATGGAAACCCATCATCAAGCGAAAAATGGCCAACTCCCGCCAAACGGTCATCTCCCACTGAACCAGTGAAGCGAAGAAAATGGAAAGCGAACGACCTATAAATAGTCATCTCTCGGAGGAATCAGTCCAGTCATCACCCGAAGACGATTGTAGATACTAACAATCGAAACGTCGTGAACTAACGTGACTTGGAATCTCTTCACTTTTTATTTTCTTTCTTTTTTCATTTCTTTATTTTTATTTATTGAATTGTTCTATTTTTACTTGTATTTTATTTCACTATTATTTCATTTCAGGCTAATCATTTTCAATTCTTCTTTTTTAGTTGTTTCAGGGATTTCAATTCATTTTATATAGTAGACACTGGAAGTCCGAACTAGTGAAATTCAATGACAAATACATTATGACTAGAAAATGAAATAACTCACCAAATAAATTCGCAAAAGGAACCTTGAAGATCCTACAATAACATTCCACATGAAATAAGTGGAGAAATTTGCATTCCAACAACTAGAAGTCCATATGTGGAACACATCACAATTAACATCATTGTGCTTGTCGAATATTTCTTTACTAAGAACACCCATCACTAAATCTATGTACTGGTTGCACTGTTTCGATAAATGAAAAACCCGAAGGTAAAATGCGGATTTATATTTTCCTCAAAGTAATCTCATGACTGATATATCACGAAACCTGCTGTCTCGATATTAATATTTTTGCAAGCCGTGGTTTGGCAAAGTTAGCAGTTACTGAACGAGTAAAGTTATTTTGTTTCCATTTGAACAGAATTCAGATAATTAGTTGAAGGAGAACGTGTTGATTCCCTTGGTAAAAGGTTTTCTCTCTTGTTTACAAGTTTTTAATGAGTCCTGTTAATTTATACTGCATACATAATCATCAGAATCCATGAATAGCAATCAGAATTACAGTGACCTCTTAATAGATTTCTGAAAAATGTTTTTACGACAATAGTAGACACACACATCGTAACAAAACAAAACAATATTGTTACGGTGTTGATACGATGATAGATATATAGACCGGGAGCCCGTGACAAAAACTTTGACCTCATTTTTACCGTCTGCCTTTTTCAGAGGACATATTTACAGCCACAAGCAACAGTATGATGCGTTAAACGAATTTTTTTCCATGTTACACATGCTTAAACATCAACTATAGTTTGCATAAAAAAAAGTTCCTTTGACCATCATTTTACCGTCTGCTATTCATGCGACCGGAAGGCTAAGGTTACGCAACCCACAAAAAATAATTTGCAGACGGTTACATGGTGCTCTGGCTGAAGCATGAATTTTTTATTTGACCAAAGAAATGGTTAACTAAAATCAATTTTCTACCGTCTGTCAAGCACAGAGTACACTAACAGTAGCATGAAATGAACGAACTTTCACAAAGAAGACGGTTTGCCGCTGTACTAATAATTTATAGACATTAGTTAATTAACAATTTTTTCACAGTGCCTCTGAACCATTTTTTACCGTCTGCCTCTTGAATGTAATGAAGTTCCATAATTAAAATGTCCTGTGATAACTGTTGGCAGACAAATTGGCAATGTTTTAAGTACAGGCAGACGCGAATGAACTTGCAAAAAAATTAATAACTTTTACGAATATTTTACCGTCTGCCATTGTTTCCTTGCAATATATATGATTATTTAGTAAACTAATTGTCAATTGGCAGACGAATTAACCGTGTTTATACAACTGAAAACTTTTTTTAATTTGCAAAAAAAACCTAATAACTTTGACCAACGTTTTACCGTCTGCCATTATTTCTTTGTAATATTATTGAATAGACGAACTCTCAATTGGCAGACGAATAGACCGTGTTTAGACGAGAGAGGTAGACAATTTTTTATGACACAAGTGTCAATGTTACTTCATAAGAGCAAATTCAGTAGGATCTACAACAAAAAATAAGGTAGCAATCTAATAATAAATTTTCGTGATACAGTTCAAAGGATGTGAAAAAAATGCAGAATTATTCAAACAGTTTATGCTCAAGCATAAACAGTTTATGCTTGTGGAAGCTGTTGTATTGCGAAACACGTGTCGCGGTTTTTGTGAAACCCTATATAGTGAAAATCATACAATAAACTGTATTGATTAGTTTTTTAACATGGATTTTCAAGTATCGGCCAGTTCTATTCAAATATATGCTGTTCTCTAAATTTGTTGCTGTAACTCTCTGGCATATTGTGGAAGATTGGGTGCGTCAAACGATGTAACTTGTTTCTTGAAAGACTACATGTCATCTATCACTCCGAAATGTCTTTCAAATATCCGAACTCTCGCTTCAGTCTTGAGACTTTGGATAACTTATTTTTGGTTGTTCCATACATACGGCACATAAATTCTTAGATTATTGGTGCAGTGTCGACAACCAAAGAAGGATTCGCCAAGTCTGCAAAAGCTTTTTGAAACTTTTCGTTGCCAATTAAAATCGACAAAGGTTTTTTGTTACCTTTTTTTTTATAATAAGAATAATATTGTTGCTTGTGGCTGTAAATATGTCCTCTGAAAAAGTTAGACGATAATAAACGTTTTCAATAAATTTTCATATTGAATATGGGTAATGTCACATTTGACTATTCACTCATATCACCACACGGTGGATGATTTGAAAGTTTCAGATTTGTGCGTCAAATAAGTCAAAATTACATATTCTGTAATAGTTCATATTCATCCATTTCGGGAACAAATCACGAACGTTTTCGTATCTGGATTTTGATTTTTCAGTCAATTTTTATGCTGTAGTAGCAGCTGCTACATCGGAAATTCCATAACTACGTATTTTTCGTACTGAGCCGGAAAAATTTTACTTTCTTGAAGGAGAAGCATGTAATATTTTTTTTGTTCATTATGAAAATTCGTTTTCAAATTCAGTACCAATCACAATCAACAATTCGAATCCACGAAACACACTTCATCAAATACTTGGGAGTTATGATTGATAGTCATTCAAATTAGAAAAACCACATTGATATTTGAAAAAAATAAAATGTTCATGATCAAAATTCAAAATGTTTATTTGTTCTGTAAGTATTTAACCTCAAAATGTGCTTGAATCAATCACAATTATGTTAGGGAAATTTCTCGTTTGGAGGTGTGGCAGAAAACTATTTTGAAAATTTAGAAACTATTCATAAATATTTCTTGAAGTTAATATGCAACAAAACTTGTCAGCTCAACTAGATATAGTATATTACTAGAAAAATTCAATATTTGTTATCTTCTTTTTCATTATTTGCCGATAGATATTGAAAATTTTCATCATTTATCAAACTTAAAGAAGGAGTCAAGTGGGAGTTGAAGACTCTACCTATGCACAAACTCTTAACTATCATTCAATGAAGTTTCCTTTACATATCAAAGATACTCTCATTGAAGAGTACTTCGGTAGAAGTGGGATTCGAATTATAAATTATCTTCAATATTGACAAAATGGTTTAGACTTTCACGGCTGAGGTTTTCAGTGTCATTGCTTTTCGAGTTGGAAAGCCGTGGATTTTTGGAATTTCTTCCTGACGTTTCGCCGGCGCGAGTGGCTAGCTTCTTCAGAGGTTTAACGATCATGGCTTGCTGTCCGATGACTACCTTTTAGGCTTCGTAAAGCGTATTTATGCCTTGTTAGGTAATCCGTTGGATTACCTAAGAAGGCATCATTATACCAAGGACACCCATAATCGGAACACCTTCCAACAGAATGGTCTGGATAGAGTTTGCGGACTTCCAAAAGAAAATCTTGATGTTCAATTTTTTTTTCTCCTCATCTGTAGCTGAAAACTCCACGAAGTATGCCAGTGTCAACATTTCGAGTATTTTTGAGCACCTAATTCCATTTTTCACCTAAAATTTGATTCAAATTCTTTGATGCATTTTTTTCGATGGCAGAAAATTGCGGAACACGCAAAACACTTAAAACTTTTATGCCTCTCACCATCAAACTAAACTTTATTATAATTTACATATTGGATTAAGTTATTTCCTTAGAGAGACATCTGGCTAACTCAAGAACGGTAAACTGAAAGCTGTTATTCAGTCGTTGTGTTATGAACAATTTCATGTGTGAAGGTCACCCTCATTGGAAGTAATGCAAACTTTTATGGCATCATCTTTTTCAAAAAAATAATTGTGCTCATGAAATCACATAGAAATAAAAAGTGTTCATGATGATTCAGTTTTGCTATTCATTATATAAAACCTATTTTTCCAGAAGAACCAGCAGAGGATGATGGTTAGCTTAGGTTAGGTCCAAAGTGAGTGAGTCTATTCAACCTCCACTGCAACCCGCAAGGGTTCATTGTGGATCACACCTATCCATACTCGAACAAATAAACCCAGCTTCTTAACGAAGCCGATTAATTTGTTTGGTGAGTGATCTTTCAGGCCAGATGGTGAAAGTAGGGCTTTGCCGACCTCTAAAAACCTGATTCGTCCCCAGCGGGGCAAGCATGAAGTACGTGTTCCGATGTTTCATCATTTTCTGAACAGAGGCGATACACACTGTCTTCCGACAGTCCAAGTCTCTGCATATGATGATTGAAATGACCTGTAAGAAGACCTGTTAGACATCGTAGTTCATCCCTACTGTAGTCCAACAACTGTTTGGAATCAAGCTTCGAAGGGTGAATAAACGCCTTGGAGTGAGCCAATCCTGGAAGATTCTGCCATTTAGGTGTTCAATGTTTGTTTGGCAAAGCCTTAAGCTATGCCAATGACAGGTTCTGGTCCGATGAAACTGCTTGCAGCAACCTCTTTTGCAAGGGAGTCAGCAGCTTCATTGCTTTCTAGGCCAATATGGCCAGGAATCCAGACCAGAGATAATCTGTTGAGTCTTCGTATCGAGGAGAGTCGTTTTTGATGAGTTGCTACCAATTTAGACGTTGCTTGGTAGGAGCCAATCTTTTCGCGCACAATAGCGTAAATTTCTGCCTGAAATACCGTCGCATAATGTCCTAGGCAGGTTGATATCTTTGTCCTGGGTCTGAGACTCAAAACACCTGCACCAGAACCTGAAGGTATTTTTGATCCATATGTGAATCAACAACTATCTGCTCTCAATATTTCCTTCTCCCGAAGGATCCAGTCCTCTCTACTCAGGAACAGTACTGTTAGACATCGTGACTCAAGGCCAATATGGCCAGGAATCCAGACCAGAGATAATCTGTTAAGTCTTCCTATCGAAGACAGTCGTTTTTGACAAGTTGCTACCAAATTAGACATTGCTTGGTAGGAGCCAAGAGCTTCCAACGCCCTTGACTGTCCAAGAATATTTTTATTAACTTGTGCATGAGATTAGATTAGAGGTTAGATGATCTGTTACGTCTTCCTATCAAGGAGAATCGTGTTTGGCAATTTGCTACCAATTTAGACGTTGCTCGTCCAAGAGCTTTCAACGTCGCCTGACTCTCCGAAAATATGTTTTATTGACTTGTGTGTGAGGTTGGATTCTTCCAATCTCTCTGCCCACAATTCAGTAGCGTAAATTTCCGCTTGAAATACAGTGGCATAAGTTTTTAGGCAGGTTGATATTTCTGTCCTGAGTCTGCGACTGAAAACACCTGCACCAGAACCAGAAAGTGTTTTTTATCCATTTGTGAACCAACAACTATCTGCTCTTAATATTTCCTTCTTCCGGAGGATCCACTCCTCTCTACTTAGGATGATGGTAGTGATAGCAGTAATACACGTGATAATGATGATGACCCAATTACAAAAAAAATCAGTCGTAAACCAACATTATGTACTTCAAAGTTTGAAATAGATGTGAGGTTTCTGGTGGTTCAATTTTAGTGTCTTAATGTTTTTCTTTGTTCTCAAGACAACACACATTAGACAACTTCCTGTTGAAATTGTACTGTTGATTTTGAAGTGGGTTACATATGGATCTGAGGTCATTAGAAAACTTTTCATCTGTCTGTAGGGAGAATTATGGAGATTAGCGTATCTACGGTAGGTTCCTAAGGAATATGATTACTTGTTCAAATGGTGGAATTATATCCCTTCTTACTTCTATTATCATAAGTTCATTGGACATTTTGGACATTTGGTTCGAAAGCGAAAAGGGGCATTTGGAAAATAACTGAAATACTATATACTCGAAAAAATTATAATATAATTATATTTATGAACAATCAAAATTCCAACACAAAATTTTCAGAAATCTTATTCTACTCAACCTCAATTCGAACAATATGCCCATCAGCGCCCCCTACGTATAATTCCCCCTTGTCTCCAATCGCGATGGCGTTGATGACTATTTCCACATCACAAGAACCACCCTCTTTCAAGTTGTTATCGACGATGGTCCACTTTTTCAGTTGCTTATCCCAGCCACCGCTGAAGATGATGTCTTTGTTGTCCCAGCTGGCTCCTGCTAAGGCATTTATTATTTTCTCGTGGGCATTCTGTAAAAGTATCGATCTTGAGGAAATTTCACTTTTCAAGAAAAAAATTCATACATGCAGATTTCGATACTACATGTGTACATGTTCAAATTTGAAAATGAGCAAGCGGATTTTATCCAGAGATGGATATATATTTCGAATGATACCAAAGTTATTCGGTTGATAATAATGATTTATAGCCAGTCTTCAAGATATATGTGAAACGTTGTCTTTCCTTATTATAGAAATTGGGCAAATTTCGGATATGCGGTTGGTTACCTCGTTCATAGGCGGATGGGGCGATGAAAAACCTGTTGTTTGTTGTCCGCTTCAGCCTAGTTCGAGGAATGATACTCTGAAGGAATTCAATTTTTAATTATCGGAAATCATCGACTTTTTGTTCATGATAGACACTACCTTGCACTAACGAGTGGCCAAACAGCCCAAAACCGGTCTGCAAGTGTGTTCCAATAATTGAAAATCTATTGCGGCAGTTGAATCACTTCAGTGAAGAATCCTGCACTGACACGCCCTTCGTAGTATTAGCCAGGGGAGTAGTTGTTTTCTGATAGGTGTCAGTCTATTAACCTACAGTGTAGGGAGTTAAGACTGACCTGAACGAATTATTTTTTTAGATGATTTGATTTAAAGCCAGTCTTCAAGTATGCCCACTGACTATATGTGGAAAAAAATTCATGATAATAATTGAATTACCGAAGAACTACATAGTAGATCTTGCCCAAATTCAGGCAGACTGTGACGTGATCACACCAGCCAGGTTGCCTCTCAGCTCGCCATACAGGGCAGACAGATCATCCAGGCAACCAGTGTGCACCAAATTGTCACGTGGTGTCCTCTCACCCTGCTAGTTTGGCAGTGAACCAATCAGAGTGTACCAAATTGTCACGTAGCGTTCTCAAACTGTCACACAGCTCGTCAGCTAATCAGAGTGCACGCTTCTGCATCTCAGAACATCGTGGCGAGAGCTTTGAATTTTCTATGGACATAAATAATTCTGGCAGACAGACGACCAGGCGTATCCCTCAACGAGACAGACCACCCAGTCACGTGGTGCGCTTACGTCAGCCCATCTTTTTCGCTAAATACATTTTTGTTTCATGATGTCATAAAATAGAGAAAAAATGAAAGATGTGATATACCAAAAGGGTATTGAGCCACATCTCCGTTAATAATAATCGAATCGTCGCTTACACCGCATCAAATGGAAGAGAAAGGAATGCAGAATTAATCGACAAAGAAAAAACAAAGATTGCGGCCAGAAGGGCACAAAGTAAAAGTAAAGATGGCGCAATATGTCGGAAGGGCGTTAAGTCACATCTTCGTTGATAATAATAGGATCGTTACGTGCAGTACATCAAATGAAAGGGATAGGAATGCAGAATGTATCGACAAAGAAGAAACAAAGATGACGGCCACAAGGGTACTAATCTGCATCTTCGTCAATAATAGTTGGATCTCAACGTGCAGCACGTCAAATGAAAGGGAAAGGAATGCAGAATGTCTAGACAAAGAAAAATAAAGATGGCGGCCGGAAGGCACATAGTCCCGATGTGGCCATGAGAAGGGTATTATAAGGTTCCCAACTACAGGGGAGAATGAAGTAGCGTCTCAGAAGTTTTACAGATTGTGGAGTTGTTTCTTAAAATTTTCGTTACTCACCTGCGTTTTACTAAGAGCTTTGAAATGACTGTCGCTGTTGTTCTCGTGCAGAATTATATCCATTCCTTCTCGACTAACAAAACTGAAATATTTTTCTCCGATCGTGGTTACGGGAGCTCGTCCCATGAAGTTGTTTTTGGTTCCATAACGGAGTTTTTCTCCTGCGATTATAAAATTGAGTGAATTAATACAGTGTCGAAAATTGGTCTTGTGAAAACAAAAAAGAATATGAAAACGTTGATGTATTTTTTAGATTTTGGAGTTTTTATTCGAACAGAAATCAAAAAAGTCTGAAGACTATCGAGGAAAGATAAATACGTATAAGAAAATGAATATTTGGTTGAACAAGAAATAAACTAACCTCTATGATGTATCTTGCATAAACGCTTGTCGGATATGATTCAATGTCCATCGTGGCATTATCCGGGAAAACGAGTATTTACCAGAACCTACAGTTTATGTTTGTTGGGACAGATGAATGTTTCTGCTGTTTTTTTTCAAATTTATTGTTTATAACTTCTATAAGAATGATTCTTTATATTTTTCAGAGAACCAGAAAGGATTGTTGAAATTGTATGACAATCGATTGTAGCAAATATACTCTCAATTCGATCACATCCAAATTGTTTATTATTACCGATATTGGAGTGTGGATACACTTTCAGGAAAAAGTAAATACTGTTGAAACACTACCAATGTTTATTTTTTAATAAGAACTTGATTGTTTGGGAAAGGGTATTTTGATTGAAGAAGTCGAGAAGAATAATCAACGATGTTTTCATTTTGCGCTAATACAACAAAGTTTCTGGTCTATTTTGTCAGAACTGACCAGTTCGTTGTTCTCAGAACACAAAACAGTCATATCAGCTTTTCTGTAGCCAAAAGATGTAGCACATGCAATGAGGCATTTGCAGGAGATGATTTCCATAAACTCTATGATTGATCATCCCTTGTTACCTACAGCAGTCAATCCACTGCTCCCTCTCACCCACTTCCTTTCCAAGTTATAAAAAAAACTGAAATTCATAACCGAAAAACACTTTTGTACTCAACTCAAACAACATTTATCCACCTCAGGACACTGGTAGTAAGAAACTGTTAGAGACGTGCAATCTGAGTAACATCTCATAATGCAGTTGAGAGTTACTATCTACCTCGATCAGTTGTGGAATGTAAACAATTCAAAGGGATGGAAAGTGACTGTTTTTTTCTGGATTCGTGACTTGACTGCTGTTATACACTTCCTTTGCTTTTGCCACTGGAAAATATAAAATCATTCTTATACTGAATGATCCTGTACAATATCAAATATAAATACAAACTCGAAGAAAGAGCTTTTCGATACAACTACTTCAATGTGAGTATTGGATTATATGAAAATCACTTTTTACTATTTCGTTTGTACCCCGAAACATCCATCATGGTGTTGAAACAGAAGTCATTCTTAAGAACGATACACAATACAATATATGTAAGAATATCTATATAAAATTTCATTCACATGAAACACTATCGTCTGCAATGGTGTACTTCGAAGTTTCGAAACAAGACAGCTATCTTATCATCCCATCAACACAGTTTTGGATAGCACTACAAGATGAATGTAATTTCTATGCATGATCTACACATGTTTGCTTTCTTTCTCCTTTTGGGAGCTTCCCATTGCTGGAATATCATCCAACAACCGCATAACTGTTTTTATATAAGGTCATCGTGATATGAATAGATTTGTCTTTTCCAGCGACACAAAGTTGTAGAGTTATGAAAGAAATGGGTGCTTCGTCTTCGTCGTCTATCCACAACAGTACTGATGAACTGTCAAGGCAGTTTTTTTTCGAAACTTCAAAGTACACCATTGAGGTTGATTCTGTTCCATGTAAATGAAATTTCATACGAATACTCTGTAATATATTGTGTAGTATTACTGTGAATGATATACCAAATCGAGTACTCATTGAATATAATATTCGTAGGGAAATAGTTCTTTCAAACGAATTTTTCTTCAGTTCAAATCTGAAAGTTATTTCTATACACGGTCTACAGATCTTATTGAGAGGTTATATGGCGACTATATGGCGATTATATTAGAATGTTTCTTCATAATATATGTACTCGTATCCTAAACGGTTATTACTTGTCTGGTATTCAAATATTCAAATAAAATTATGATAAACTTCGTTACCTTCAAGTTTCATGTCGGTTATTACAAGGTCCAAATCTTTAACCGTGAAAATCAAGTTTTTGAATACCGCCATATCCTTAATGGGCTCGGCGATGTTGAGTGAACCATAAAATTTGCCGTCTTTCCAGACTTTTATCTGAAAAAATGTATTTTTGTTTCCATTTGATATTTCTACCATAAAATAATAAACATATGAGATATGGTTTTAATCAAACGAGTATGTTCACAAGGCGAAAGCTGACTTTACACACAGGTACAATGTATTTTTTTAATGTTCCCCCCTTTTTCTTTTTGAACGGGCCAACTCAAAAAATTGAAATTTGATATAATGAAATTAATGCATGAATACTTTACTTTGAAGTGAAATTGACAGATGAAACTTTCAAGATGGCGACTGGTAGCATCTGGGAAAAAATTGAATGAAAAAAAAGGTCTTGTGATACATCATTTTGAAGCTCCTGACGAATACTTCACAACCCTAGAACATGAAGTCAATATCTCCACCTTCTTCAAAATAGCGGAACATTCAATAATTTCCTGAAGACCAACACGCCAAATATCGATATTTCAATAAACATTCCTTTTTGTTTGTTACNAGTTCCGCCATTTTGTAGTAGTTGAAGATATTGACATTATATTATAGGGTTGTGAAGCATTCGTCAGGAGCTTCGAAAAAATGTGTCACAAGACCCCGCCTTTCTATTAAATTTTTTTTCCCAGATGGCGTCTAGTCGCCATTTCGAAAGTTTCATCTGTCAATTTCACTTCAAAATGAAGTATTCATGCTTTAATTTCAGTGTCCCAAATATCAATTTTTTTGAGCTGACCCGTTCAGAAAATAAAAAGGGGTGGACATTAAAGAAATGCACTGTATAGTTAAAAAAAATATTTCTGTCATACTAGTTTATTATCGTTTTTTCATTCGTTAGTTAGCAATTCAATGAAAACCAACTCAACCAATACAATAAAAATGTACCCTGACATACAAATCGAATGTTTCCATGCAAAGAATTTGTTATTTATTGTTCGAATTCTGAAAGGTTGAATATTCTCTTCCAACGAAAAGGTGACAAAAGTTGTAGAGGTCTCTGTTACACATGTAGCAAGTTGAAGTTAGAGCATGTTGATGAAATAGACTGACTATATTTTTTTTGCTTCCATAGTAGATAGACTGAAAAGTTTTTTTATAACATCTTCGTTTACTGTTAATGCAATAACAGACTAGCATGACATTGAAGTTTATGTCCTTGAGCGACTCACAAACTCTTGGACGCCTCAAGACTCAACATCTTTGATCCATAAATACCTATTACTACCCAACTGACTTCGACAACAGATGGTTTTGTGTTGCAATAAAAAACTGATTTTACATCAAGATCAACTTACATAACCTTCATGATCGCCGGAATACAGGCATCCGTCGGAATAACTGACCCTCCAGTATTCAGCTTGATCATCTTTGGTAATAACTTCTTTTTCTTTGAGAGTTTTCAACTCGAAAGATTTGATGGTACCTTCATTGGAACAAGAATACAAAGTATCGTCACTGGCTGCTAAACAGAAAACTGAACATTGATTCGACTGAACCTCAGCTAGTTTCTTCAGGTCAGGAGCCCATGCCTTGAAAGATAAATATAGTTCTGGTAGATATTGCAAATAAGTCAATAATATTAATTGTAAGATGGATGTGAATCGAGTTTTGATTCGAATTATCCAACTTCGAAGAAACTAATTTGAAAAATGTTAGTAAACTTGTTACTTTGAAATGTTTTGTCTGTTGGACCATAGACTCAAAATGAGTTTCTTACAATTATACGGACGGGATCGCCAAACTGCTGGTCAGTGGCAGAGTAGAGTGAGTGGAACTAAAACTCCCCAGAAGCCCTTGCGGAACATGCCACCTTGGACCAGCCTACCCAAGCTAAGGTGTGAGGAATCGTGCCGACAACTGAATGGCCGCAGGGTAATATGCGGTCCCCTTGCGGTCCCGAAACCTTATTGTAATCTGCCTACCTCTGGTAATGCGGGGCTTGCTAGAGGTGACCAACCAACGGGGGAACACACATGAATGAAACAAACACAAAAACAGGAACAACAAAAACAAATAAAGGAACCGGCTGCCCCTGCAGGGAAGCTCCCTCACTTGTGCACCTCCACAGAAGGAACCCCAAGAAGGTTGAAGAAGCCGCGCAACGACAGTAATATCGCTGCACCTTCCAAAACCTTCGCCGGAGGCCACCGTGAGGCTCCTCAAGGTTGCCAAAAAGAGTGTGTGTTCGGCTAGTCTTGGCCTTCACTTGCCAATGTAAAGGAGATGTCTTCTAGTGACCTGTCCACCTTCCTGGAAAGGACAGGATGGACGATGACCTAGGAGGACAACTCCTTGAGAGGATGTACAATGGGTTACATGTGGGCCTACACTCACCCTCTCCACTCTAGTGATACAGCGAGATAGTGATAGTGAAACATTGAAAGCATTCAATCAAATTGCCCTTGTAAAAATTGATTTGGAACTGCTTATCATTATTGAGATCAAGACCTTTTTTTTGTGGTTGCAATTCACAAGGAAACAAAGATAATAGTTGTCCCCATGAAAGAGAGAGGTACTGTTTCCCTAGGCCTAAACTTTTGAGTGTGTTGTCTAACTGTCATATGAAAAAAAGGGTTTAAACCTCTGTTCAATATAAAATTTGTGAGTCTAATGTGAGTTTGAATATGAGAACCTTTGAAACTGAATATGAAGGATATAATTGGTTTACCATGACTTTTCCATCATCTCCAGCACTGTATAAGATTCCTTTATGGTAGAGTAGAAAGTTTATATCGAATTCATGCTTGTCAGCGTCATCAGCTCTACAACCTACTCGAAGAGGCATTTTTCTGAAATGAATTGAATGTGTTACTGAGAAAAAATTGTTGTCTTTTATGGATCCACTCAGAAACATAAAGAAAAGAATATAATTCAGTTGAATTGAGTTCATTTTGAAGTATCAAGAGCTGTGTTTCATAGTACATTACATAGTAAACTAGGTTTGACTTCAAATATATTATGACCTTTATAGTTATTCGTGAATACCTCATTTCAGATTTTCCTGAGTTGGCGAATAGGTGGTTGTATATACTTTATGTATTACTTGGTGACCCGAATTTTTCGGTAGTTTTTTGAGTTCAAACAGACAGACTGGCTTGGCGAGAGAACTCTATTATGAAATATCGTGTGATCTGGTGAAACCAAAATGTCATTATGTTGAAAACATTCATGTTTTATAAATTATATTTTGAATCGAATATGAACGATTGAACTGTTCAAAAGAATATTTTATATCAACCTTCTTTGGGTATTTTCAACTTCCACAATCTGAAAAATATGAAAATTGTGATGGAAAACTTTATACATGTGTGAGATAGGCAAACCGATAATAAAGTTTACAAATTGAAGGTCAACTTGCTTTCCTTGATGTAATGTTTATCGAAAGAAAACACACTAATAGATATCTCCGCTACACTATAAATCAACATGCGAGTGTTGAAAAAAGGATAATGAATTGTCTTTCTAACAAAGCAGAAACAATATGCAATTCAACTGAAATTGTTAATAACGAAGCATCATCAATAAAATCTGCTCTGAAAAAGTACTCTTATCCAGATTCATTCATAGATTCCACGATGTATGCAATAAAAACCAAATGACCCTAGAAAAATCATTATAAATTCAACAATGTCCAACTCAACAATTACCGATTTATAACATCCAGTGACACCTTTCACCACTAACGTTATACCTTACTTTCCAGGACTATCTGAAAAGATAAGACAAATTAGGAATAGATATGATGCTACAACTTCTTACAAAATAAAAAGTACCATGACATCTATACTAACACATACAAAACTCAACAACACAGGGACACCTTGTTTTTGTGGTGAAAGTTATGTTGGTGAAACTTCGAAACCATCGAGAGTGCGTGAGAATAAACATCGAGATCACATTATGAATAGAAAATCAACAAGATCAAAATTGTCAGAACACATTTTGAATGGAATAATATGATAATGATTGCTAATGAAGTCCTCAAGAAACTCCAAAAGTTTCGACATATTCGATATCAACTCAAACCTTTTGAAAAAACCCATCGATGTTGCTACTCAGCCATTAACAAGTTTAATAAATATCATTGACGGTTTCAAGGAAGGTATTTATACATCAATTACACTTGCAGATCTCAGTAAAGCGTTCGATTGTGTTTCTCACGATCTTTCAATTAAAAAACTTGAACACTATGGCATCAGAGATTTACGTCTCCAAGTGATAAAATTATATCTTATAGGAAGAACTCAGTGTGTCTCCGATAACAGAAAAAATCTGGCTTACGTGAAATAAGGGTGTGCCCCAAGGGTCTGTCTTGGGACCCCTTTTGTTCATTTTTTACATCAATGATCTTTTTTACTACCTTTTTCCGAACACTATTGTCATCTTGACACTCAACTTGCGCACTCTTAAATACATTGAAGAGCAGATGGAAAGTATAGCAGATCACTGTTATGAAATTTTTTATATAACGTAGTCAATAAACATGTATCTATCTATCTAAACCTCACTTCAAGAGACGTAAAGAATCAGAGTAGGTGTATTCTCATATCTGGATATCTGAAGGAACTAGAGCCAGAACTGAATAGAAGTATATTTCGAACACAAATATATCGTACTTGGCCACCAGTCTTGAAGAAAAATATGGAGAGTGGCGAAATAGCAACAGACTGATATCAGAGAACACCGAATGTACTATATCGAATGTTTAGGAAGTCAACCAACAATAGTTGACAAGAATATGAAGTTGACAAATTTAAAGAAATCTGAAAATAAAATTCCAGTATTTCATTCCAAGCAGGAGTAAAAAATTTTCAGAGCAAACGAATGGGAACTTATTTTTTGAAATAATATTTATTAGACAAGTGACAAATACATGCCATAGCGAATAGTAACAGTTTGAATAATATATTAACAAAAAATCAATGTCAGTTACGTTACATGTCCTAATCGAATATCAGATTAAATAAAAAAAGTTGCTTGATAAGGTTCAAAAGGCTTACACATTTGTGTGTGTCGTTCAGCAAAATGTTCAACTCCGTTTTCAGGAACCCAGTCACAATTACTTCTTCCCTTTTTTCTTTTTCTTCTGAGCATCAGGCCAAGGAAATCCTCTCCATTTCAAAAGATCCTGAACGCTGTGACAAGTGGTATATGCATTTTCCATAGCTGCCTCCGTGAATATATCAACGTTGCATCTTCCGCTTTTCGATCTACCCTTTCTACCTCCTGATTTTTTCGGTTTCCCTCCTTTCTTTTTGTTTTTATCTCCGTTTGAATTACCATTTTTCGATTTCTTCTTTTTACCTTTACCTGCCATGATAAATACACTAAGTAATGCTCTGTTTAATCGATATTTACAGTGGAGTGAGAGCACGATGTTAAGGTAATGTTTGATCAATTCTTAGAATTACAGTTTGGGATTCTTTATTTCAGTTAGTTCCATAATGATAATAATAATAATANGTCTTTAATATGAATATCATGAGATGGGCCGTCAAAAATTAAAGTTGACCTGTTTTTGGATTTCTTCCGAAAGACGCTCCTTTTGTGAATATCGAATTTATTCCATACATTTGCATCGTACTGTATAATAAAAGTGTATCTGACTTACATGAAAGATATTTAAAAAAAATATTTTTGGGGGTCTTTAGTGAAACGATAGAACTCAGAACTAGGATTGTTAGAATTTTAGTCTGTTTGTCTGTCCGTTTGTGAGCAATAATTTGAAAGACGGCTCAACCGTTTAGGCTGCGGATGTTTCTCGTTCAGCTAGCTGCAGGACTGTCCTGAAATCAATCAAATCTGAAAACACTTCAATAATAGATTATTATTGTTATGTTGAATACATTTTTCATCTACCCAAGTGATAATCTATACCATGAGCCTGAACTGATGGATACTTGGAAAATATTCGCATACACCTTAAATATACATTTACGAAAAAATATGAGTATAGCCAAACATATCGATTATTCATATGACATCCGGTATAAGATGAATTCATTAAATATACAAAAGATGTCAAAAACAATTGGACAACGCGCAGTTATAGTTACCTGGCTCCAAAAATGTATGTTCTAATAATCGGTCATTTCGAATTACTTAATTAAACTCCACAATTTAAATAAAAATTGAAAAATGGGTTACCCAGATTCCAAGAAGGATAGTATATGCAATTATAGATGTTCTTTAAAAGCGTGTTTTTCAGTTTTTTCAACTATATTTATTATTCATTTTTTAGTTTCGTATGCTATAAAAGCGCGTTTTTTACACTATATTTATTTTAACTAAACTTTGGGATCAATCAGTCGTATATTGACCATTAATATTTTCCGATTCCGGAGAGGGAGCCTGAAAATTAGCTTCCAAACCCAAGGCGCCAGGCGCGCATGTTAGTAAAAAAATACTTTTTTCAAATGAAGAAATACATGTAAAGTGTGTTCGAATTAAATCAAACAGGTTACGTACAGCGCCATCTGCCCGCGAATAGACCAAGCAATAATGTCGATATATCAACGAGGTTGCGTACAGTGCCACCTGCCTGCGAATAGATCAAGCAATAATGTCTAAAATTCTGTTAAATACAGATCCATACATACAAGTGAAGTTAATATAAAGCGTGTAATAAAAAAGCTACTGTAATAGCTGATGCTGATGCTAAGATAATACGGATATTCTGAAAGTAATGTTTTGCTGAATATTTCATAACCATGTGAAGACATTGTCTTTGTGATTTTTCACTTTCATTCATTCATTTGGTATAAACTTGTAATCATTATCATCATTATTTTCAATATGTTTCACAGTCTGTGTACTTGCATAATGACAAATTATAATTGTCATTATATCCTGTATATTTCTAGAGAAATCAATAGTTTGGTTTACTTTAGTTGTATTTCAGAAATATTGGACTATGTCCTCTTATAAGTTCGACCCCAATCCTTTTTTGAAATCCTTCGGTTACGCCTGTGGTTCTCAAACATGCTCACCAATGAAGCGAAACAATATTTATATTAAAAATTCACATTGGTTTAACTTTGAAACAAGTGTAAGGCTATTTGCGAATCAAAACAAATACCTTCTTTAAAGCATATGATCTGAAACAAAGGAGCTAATAAAACATTTTTGACATTCCTAGAATGTGTTGTTTTTCAGTCGGAATTGACCCAAAGTGTAAAAAAAATAGTGATTCGTAAATGAATGTGGAGTACAGATTGTTTGGATGAATTTGTGTGAAAACTACAGGTAGGTTACCCTGGTAGCTTAGTAACAAATGAACTGAGTATGAATGCGAACTTTGAGAGACATTGTCCTGAATAACACAGTTACAGTACGGAAAACAGTGAAGCTCTATCATTATGGGATGCTTTCCACTAACGTGAGTATGATTTCAAAGAATTCATTTAACACTATCTGGGGCTAAAAAGTCCCGGGCCTAACACATAGATGGTGCTAGTTTTATCGCATTCACCGCTTCCTCAGTTAGTACTAACCGTTAAAAAAATATGTTAAAATTTGATGATATTCTGTGTATGGCTCTTCAACGTTCCCTGCAAGTGGTCGTCGATAGTTATCTCTCGAATACTTTCATCATCCCGTGGGTTGGGCTACCTATCGGACGCGTCTCTAGGTGGCGGATAGGGGAACGGCCAGGGGAGTGGAGGCCGTGTCCGGGAAGCTAATGTGGTCTCAGGGACGGGGGCGCCGGACTCCTGGTCAGTGGCAGAAGTAAGTAGGGTGAGGGGAACTGAAACTCCCCAAAAGCCCTTGCAAAACATGCCACCGTGGACCAGCCTACTCAAGCTAAGATGTAAGGAATCGTGCCGACAGCTGAATAGCCGAAGGGTGATATGCGGTCACGAACGATCCCCTTGGGGAACTGGGCGAAACCTCATTATAATCAGCCTACCTCTGTTAATGCGGGGCTCTGCCAAAGGTGACCAACCATTCCCTTGATCCTCGTGGGAAAACTCATGAATAAAACAACACAACAACAGGAACAACAAAAAAAATCCCGAGGCTGGACAGAAGTGCTCACCTCAATCTAAGGCAGTGGCTGAGGATGAACAGAAATGTCCATCCCAATCTACCGCTTGGAATGAGGCTGGACATAGCAGATCACCTCCAACAACAAGGGCACCTCCCGCGGCGGGCGCCAAGAGTTCCGCATGGAACCGCTGCCACTGCAGGAAAGCTCCCTCACTTGTGACCTCCACGGAGGAAACCCCAAGAAGGTTGAAGAAGCCGCGCAACGACAGTAATATCGCTGCACCTTCCAAAACCTTCGCGAAGGCCACAGTGAGACACCTCAAGGTTGCCAATGAGAGTGTGTGGTCGGCGAGTCTTGGTCTACACCTTGGCCTAGTGACTTGTTCACCTTCCTGGGAAGGAGAGGATGGACGATGACCTAGGAGGACAACTCCTCGGAAGGATGTACAATGGGTCACATGTGGCCTAAGTAGTGTGAGTCTACGCTCACCCTCCCTACTCTACAGATTCCAAATACTTCCACCAACGCTGGTGTTCCCCAGGGACCCATATTATCTTCAATCCTCTTTTTATTGTATACCAACGACTTATTGGGAAAAAACTGGAAATCTAATATATTGCTTTGCTGACGACAGCACACTTGTCTCGTCATTCCATTCTATTCTTTCTTCTTTCCTTTGAATGTTTGTATAACGATTGAAAAATAGAAAGTCAAAACCAAATAAATCGTTATTTTGGTGGTGGTGACTTTCAGAGTTTTCGTTGTTTCATCCCAGTGTGTATTGTCTGTCCATAATTTTCTTATACAGTGTGACACACTTAAGATGAAGACACCACACTGCATTTTAGTCATTTTTGAAAGCAGATATTTGATTTTTAGTACCGGCGTAGACATTCATGGACTGCACTTTTATTCGCAATACCTAATACTAAAAAAGTTGCTTAGAAGTCGATTCTGACCCTACATACCAAATTTCAACCTAAAATTGGAAATTTTAATTTTTTTGTAATATTCATATTCATATAAATGGAAATTATTATTTTGTCGAATGTAAGTTGTTCGAATTTGGTCTCCTTTACTGGCATGTCTCAAATTCAGAGGAATTTGCCTAATTTTGGATGAAAAATCGTCATTTTCAATGTTTCAAAGCAGTCTCATATTTTGTGTTTCAACAGTTTTCAAATTGAGCTAGAGTATTATGGAAAAAATGAACTATTTATACTTTTCCCAAATATCAGTTTGGAAGTAAATGCGTCAAAAAACAGTGACAAAATGAACAAGTAATACGTTGGGAAAGTTAGTTAAAAATGATAAAGATAAAACATCAAAATTTGAGGCATCAGGAGTATGTAAATTGAAGTGTGGAACGTGTCTTAAAGTATTTATTGGTCAAACTGGCTGAACAGTTAGGAATCGAATCCAGGATCATGATATGAGCTATGTAAATAAGAAAACAAATTCAACATATTCAAAGCATCTTCCAGAAGAAAATCATATATTCAACGAAGAGTTCGAAATTTTACACATAGAAAATAAAGATTTGAAACTGAATCATTTGGAAGAAATGGAAATGAATAAACTCAAAAATTCAAATATTCCAATGAATGACCAACTGGATTTGTATAGATCACCATTATTGAACTTGTTTTCGTAAATAAAACGGAGGAAGTATTATTATTGATGTAGAAGTTAGGTAATATGCTTCAGGTAATCATAATTGAAGAGGTACAACAGGTATATAAAAATTGTAGAGGTTTAGATAATTTGATGGAGGTAGTCTCAACTTAGTTACCTGTGGTATATAAATATTAGCGTTAGAAGCAACTTTTAGTATTCAAATCACTGTTGAAGAAGATACTGTGTTAGCAAAACATGTCACGATATATTTCTCAAATAAAGTTTGTGGAGATCAAATCGCAAGGTGTAGTTTATGATATTTCTATAGATTTTCAATCCATCAATCAATCAGAAAAAAGACAAAATGGCCATTGAACGTTTTAATTTACGTGAAAAAATGTGAAAAAATTTAATTAATAAGGTCATTTGGTGATTGTGCTCGAAGAAGCAGACAACTTGCTTTAGAAGTCAAGAGAAAACATCCGCAACGAAATCGTATTCGACATGGAAAAATCTACTCTTCAATGTGCGACAAGAGATGTACTTTCCGCTAGACGGAGCTTTCTTTTATAATTCTCGGATGGTTCGAGAGTGGTTAAATACACATTTTCCATTATGTTGGATTGGTAGAAGTAGCTCATAAGAACAATGGCCTCCTCGCTTTCCTGACATAACTGTGATGGATTTTCACTTCTTCTCTCACTTTGTGAGAGAATACGGATTGCCGTGAAATGAGTATTCCAAAACTGAGGAGCGTGGCCAATAATAATAGAAAAATAATTGAAAAACGTTTCAGAATTGAGAGTGGTTCAGTTGAGAGACAATATTTGGAACTAACTTCCAATATTAGAGTTCATTTAATTTCCTGTTGAATTCGCTCTATTAATTCTCATTTAATTTCGACCGATGTCTGTAGGTTTTTAGCAACTGACAATTTCATAATATTTTAGTAGGCTTTTTATTCTCATTCCTCCATTATAGTTAATTTAATATTCTCGTAGAGCTCCTTATTCAGAAGCATTTATTGAAAATCGGACTTGAATATGAAATTTACAAAAAAAAATTATTCGAATTTCGGGTTGAAATTCGGTGTTTAGGTTCAAAATCGATGTTTAAGCCACTTTTTCAGATAACTTATTTCGCTATCTCCAACGCGAAGCAAAATATGGTCCAAATCTTTGCTTTCAAAAATGACTGAAATACAGGGGTGTATTCATCATAAGTGTGCCACACTGTATATAATTTTAATGAAAAGTGAGATGATTTGAGCCTAACAAGGGTCATATGAAATTGTTTATTTATTTTAGTTACGATTTGTTCAGTGGATTCTTTTTGTGTTCTTCTTTTTGCCACCCTGTATATAATTTTCATAAAAAGTGAGATGATTTGAGCCTAACAAGGGTCATATGAGATCTTTCATTTATCTCAGTTACGATTTGTTCAGTGGATTCTTTTTTGTTCATTCTTTCTTGGTTCTAGAAATTGTTGACAAGAATATGAAGTTGACAAATTTAAAGAAATCTGAAAATAAAATTCCAGTATTTCATTCCAAGCAGGAGTAAAAAATTTTCAGAGCAAACGAATGGGAACTTATTTTTTGAAATAATATTTATTAGACAAGTGACAAATACATGCCATAGCGAATAGTAACAGTTTGAATAATATATTAACAAAAAATCAATGTCAGTTACGTTACATGTCCTAATCGAATATCAGATTAAATAAAAAAAGTTGCTTGATAAGGTTCAAAAGGCTTACACATTTGTGTGTGTCGTTCAGCAAAATGTTCAACCCCATTTTCAGGAACCCAGTCACAATTACTTCTTCCCTTTTTTCTTTTTCTTTTGAGCATCAGGCCAAGGAAATCCTCTCCATTTCAAAAGATCCTGAACGCTATGACAAGTGGTATATGCATTTTCCATAGCGGCCTCCGTGAATATATCAACGTTGCATCTTCCGCTTTTCGATCTACCCTTTCTACCTCCTGATTTTTTCGGTTTCCCTCCTTTCTTTTTGTTTTTATCTCCGTTTGAATTACCATTTTTCGATTTCTTCTTTTTACCTTTACCTGCCATGATAAATACACTAAGTAATGCTCTGTTTAATCGATATTTACAGTGGAGTGAGAGCACGATGTTAAGGTAATGTTTGATCAATTCTTAGAATTACAGTTTGGGATTCTTTATTTCAGTTAGTTCCATAATGATAATAATAATAATACGTCTCCATTCACTATAAAAAGTAGAGTTGAAACAGACGAAAAGAGAAAAAAGGAAACAACTTACAGCCTGGAAATANTATCTCGGTCACAGAGGGAAGTATTTCATTTTTGATGCGCACTTGAAGAGTGGAGTTGTCGAACTCTCTGTTTTTCTTAGGCCTAAACATCATTATCGTAGATATATTTCAGTTGAGCTTGAACTTATGGGCTATATAGTACTAACGCAAATTGGAAATTTATGTTGGGGCTGGTTTCTTAGCCTCCTGTAGACCTCATTTCCTTTCGATGAAAATAATGACAGTACCTTCTATTTATCTGTATCAACTTTTGATAGATATTTATAAAAATGAGTCAACATTGAACAGAAATTGTAATTTCCACGATCATGAGACTAGAGGATGTGATTTGTTGAGGGCC